CCAGGCCATTGGTGTTAAAGAGGTCTTGGGGACAAACAGAGCATTTCACACTCTCTGGCTCTGTCCCCACCTGTGTTTTGCAGCCCTGGCTCTACTGCTGCTGCAGCTTCCCCGGTGCTTGCAATAGTGGATGTTCTCTTGGAGCCTGGCCGCCGGCCTTCTCAATACTGTGTCTTGCAGATGCGCCTTGGGCTGTGCTCGGAGGACCACGCGGGCGAAGTCGGCTGGTGGACAAGCTGCGTGAGCGCCCTGTTGCTGGCTGCAGGGGAACAGCATTGGAAGGAATTAACAGAACATGCTAACACAGATGAGGCTCCCGGTCCTGAGTCTGGTTAAGGATCTTAATTAAGATGCAGGTTGTGCTGTAGTTAAGATTCTCATTTGGGGTATTATAGAAAATGAGGTTGGAAGGGACCTCAGGAGGCCATCTGGTCCAACCCCTGCTCAAAGCAGGACCAGCCCCAGAGTGAGAAAGTTCTTCCTAATGTCCAACCTAAACCTCCCTTGCTGCAACTTGAGACAGTTGCTCCTTGATCTGTCACCTGCCCCCACTGAGAACAGTCCAGCTCCACTGTCAAACCCCAGGATTAAAATAATGCAACACACGAGCCAGGCCCCCAAAATCATGAGATCAGCTTTAAAATCATGAGACTACCAAGCGCCAACAACAGCATGTTCAGGTGGGCTTTTTAAATGTCCTTTCCAGGTCTCTGAGCCTTTGAGGGGCCCTGGCTTCATGTGTTCAAATATTTTCCTGCAGCCCTCCAGACAAAAGGCAGACATTTTGCAGCATGAAGTCAAAGGAACCAGCTGGGTAAGGAGGTGCCCAGACAAGAAAGGAAAAGCAGTTGAGGATCATGTCCTGCGGGGCTGCAAAATCCTGTGGCTCATCCTGTGTCTTACTGACTCATTCTCACTCATGTCCAGTGAGACACTTGGGCAAACACATAACTTTAACACATGATTTTATTTCCTCCTCCACCCAAAATTCATAGCTCCCTGTGAATCAAAAGGATTGCTCACATGCTTCGAGTCATTCCTGTACAAGCGTTTTCCACAATCAGGGGCCTGGGACAGATGTAGCTTTGTAGGGAGCCCGCCTGGGTACTGCAGTAGTGAGCGAGGCTCAAACCTAGAGAGTTGGTGATTCATTTAGTGTAGCTCTCTGATGAGTCATTCTCCAGCTATGCTTTTCTATTTTAAAAGCACACTGAATTCCTGCACGTATTGTGATGTGTCCTTGAGGAGCATAAAGCCACTGAGAGAGTCCCTGCTCCATTCTCATGGTGACCTCCCTGAATAGACATCCCTGGGACTTGGTTCACTATGCCATGTGCTGGGAGGAATTCAAACAGATCCTTCATCTCGTGATTGTTTCTCAGTAAGAGCTGCCTACGTGCACACAGACACTGTCATGCACTTGTGTACACACACGCACACCCTACACTCCTGAAGGAAGCCCTGATTGCCTTTTCCTCAGATCTTGCTTATCAACTGCTGCCCAAGGATGGACTTTGTGTGTGCACCCGGGCTGGGCCAAGCTGGCAGGAGGATGGCTGGAAGGCACCAACCCAGGTTCCTTATGCTGCACATCAGAGTTAGCACGTCAAAGCCCAAGCTCAGCCCTGGGCCAAGCCAGCATCATGGCTATTGATGTCAGTGTGGTGCCACCTCCGCTCACACCGGCCCCGAGCCGGATCCCTGGATCTCTTCCCATCCATAGTTGTTTTGCACAGAGATCAGAGGGGGTTGACTCGGAGCAGCTCCGTGAGCTGCAGCTTATCCTGGGATCTGGCTTTGACTTGTAACCCCCAATTCAAGCTCACATTTAGAATGACTAAGAACTCCCCAGCCCAGCTGGTAGCAAGTGAAGCCTCAGGGCAAGCTGGTGCAGCACCGTCTGCTTGAGGGCTGGTTTACGTGGCAGGGGACAGACTCTGATCCAGGCACAGGGAAGAGCTGCTGGACCACAGCGCCGAAGGTCCTTCTTGCTGCTCCAGAGGCTGGCCTTGCAACCTGCCCAGAACTGCTCCTCTTGTGGCTTTCCAACAGCAGCAGGCTCCTCTTGCCCTCTCCATCCAAGCCAACAGCTGCTTTTCACAGCCTCCCAAGCTCCTTTCCCTGCACTGGGCTGCAGGGGCCTCAATGGCCCTGTGCATCCGAGTTTTTGGTTGTAGCCGTGTTAGTCTAAGGATGTAGGCAGGCAAGGTTCTTAGGGTAGATGTGATATCTTTTATTAGATTACTCCATTGGTCTAAGAAAAGAAATCACATCTACCCAAAGAAGCTTGCTTCCCTCTCTGAGGCTTTGGCCTTTGGTGGCTGCTCAGAAGCCCAAGGCCAAAGCTCTCCCCGGGCTCAGCCAGACGCTCTCCTTCCATCCTTGCTCTTCTACCGACACCTGGTGGCAGCTGCATCCAGGAGAGGGGCCCTGGCTGCAGGATCTGTGCGCAGTGGGAACAATGCAAGAACGGGGGTAGGCCCTGGCTGCACACCTAGGATCCAAGCTGTGGCAGCAACAGGGCTTTGCACCAGGGCTGCCTGCCGCCTTCATCCCAGCGTGGCCCCTTGATGCTGCCTGGCTTGGGGGCCAGGCTTCTTAGGGTTGGGTTGTCCAGGATTCAGAGCTGCAGGCTGGGGTCAGGTCTTACCTTTGGATGCACGCGGTCAAAGGGCCCTTGGACCCTGCCCCTGGGTCTGACTGTGACCAGATCTTTCTTGCTAGGAGGGCAGTAAACCAGGCGACCCGCAGTACGCTTACACCAGCATTTCCCAACCAGTGTGCCGTGGCGCAAAAGCATGCCGTCAAAAATGAACAGATGTGCTGCAGAATTGTGCCATGGTAATGAACTACAATCAGTATGAGGATGGGGAATGCTTTAACAGGTGTGCTGCAGAACATTTTTATTAGAGTGAGTGTGCCTTGGGCTGGAAACGGTTGGGAAACACTGGTCTATACATTCATTAGATACGTAATTGGTCTAATAAAAGGTATCATTTCTGAACCAGGAGGCATGGGAGACTGGTGCCACCTTAGTCGGGGGGGGAACATGCCCCCCTGCAACCAGTCCGGCCAGCTTGGAAGGGGATCCCCCCACAGCTGATCTCTCTGCCCAGGTTCTTCCCACGGCCGATCGCTGCATCCACTTCCGGGAGCAGCTGCAGCAATCGGCTTGCGCTTGCCGGGGGAGCATGGGTGCTCCCGCCTGCCCCCCCTTGCCTAAGTGGCTGGTCAGGAGATGCACCAGTGCTCTCAGGGGGTGCATGTGCACCCCCATGCACCTCATACGCATCACTGCTGTCAAGAGGTCTAGAGTTTTGCATTCCTTAGATATTGTGCACCTATTTTACTATTCCCTTAATAAAGGACTAATGAAATGTGCAGCGCCTAAAGTTATGGCGTGGCCTACAGTTACAGCGCATTAGCGCCGGCGCTGTCATTCAGTGATGCTTACTGTGCATTTGCCTCTTAACACAAGCTATTTGCACGGGTTTGACTGCGACTCGTGTTAGGAGGAGAATGTGCATTAAGTGTCTTGTGTAGATGCCCCCAGAGAGGCTGGGATGAGACGGCAGGGGGCTGGACCCGACTCTTGGGACCTCAGTTCTCCCGGCTCTAGTGCAAGCAGCCCCGAGCACGTGGCAGCTTCGCAGCAAGCGCTGCAAGATCGTCCAGGAGAGCTGCAAAGCGGCGCGCTAGCGGCTGTCTGCCGTCGGTTTCCGTAGTGTAGCGGTTATCACGTTCGCCTCACACGCGAAAGGTCCCCGGTTCGATCCCGGGCGGAAACACATGTCTTTTTTTTTTCCCCCCTCCCCCTGAGTGTGTGTTGTTTCCTGTCCCGAGCCGCCCGGGAGAGGAGGGGGCCGCCGCCCGCCCCCGCGCGGAGTAAAAGGAGAAAGGCGGGGGGCAGGAAGAAAAGGGCAGTGACTGCGTTGGCCGGGAATCGAACCCGGGTCAACTGCTTGGAAGGCAGCTATGCTAACCACTATACCACCAACGCGGCGCTGCTGACAGTTTCGCCGCCGGCCTACAGGAGGTTACACCTGACTATGGCTCGTACCATTGTGATATGCGCGGTGGGGAGGGAGAGGGAAACCACAAATTCTACTTTTTCTGAGGGAAACCATTCTGAGGGACGCGAAACTCTCTCCCAGACTCGAAGCGAAGCAGCTCGTCTGCCTCTCTCTCTGTCACTGTGAACTCCCCCTGTCGGCCGGAGAATAGTGCCGTCCACTTCGAACAGCCTTCCCTCCACAACCGCGAAGCTTTGGCCCCGCCCCCTAGCCCTCTGGCGCATGGCGGCGTTTCCGCTTCCGGGGGATGGGTCGCGCTGGGCAGGCCGTGGCCCCCCCTTCCTCCCCGCTTCCGGGGCTGCCGAGGCGCGGACCATGGCGCTGGCGTGAGGCGCCGCCCTCTGCCCCCTCCCCCCCCCAGCGGCCCGGGAGGACGCCGAGCCCGGGTGAGCGGGGGGCGTTGACAGCGCGGCTGCTGGAGGCCGGCGGGGTGGGGGAGAGACCCCGGCCCCGCGTCCCTGCATCCCGTCAGGGCCGGGAGCGGCTGAAATCCGGCCTGGAGTCCCCTCAGGGGGCTGCTGAGGGGAGGCAACGGCCTTCCCCTGGGACCAGAGGGGCTGGTGTCCCCCCACCACGGTGACACCGGCCAGGCCGCGGCCCCTTTCGGTGGGGCTCCTGTCAGGGGTCGCTTCTTCTTGGGCTCCGTCCTGCTGAGGATCTCGATTTCGGAGCATGACATAGAGAGTTGAAAGTGAGACTTTGGCAGTCGAGAAGGTCACAATGTTACCGGTACAATCAGTCGAGTTCCACTTGGAAAGATTTTGGGGGCACAAACCTCCCACATCTATTTGCTGAATGGAAGAAAGCAAAGAGATCCCCAGGAAGCCCCCCCAAGCAGCAGGTGTAATGGAGGAGGGTCCCATGGTGTTGACGTGTTGCTTTTCTCTCTTCTCATCTAGTTTCCTGTCCCGTCCGAGGCTCGCTGAGTAGTTAATGCAGAAGATAAAGAGGGTGCGTCTGGAAAACGAGACTGCAGGAAGTTGGAGAAGGTAACTTTTCTGGTCTTTGGGATCTAGCAGGATGGACCCATCACTGGTTGACTGCTGGATATAAATGTCAGCCTGCTCATTGTGCCCATGGAGCCTTTGTCTAAATGTCCTTTTAGTGCCTGAAATGCTTGGAAAGGTCAACCCTTTCCAGGTGGCAGGCTTTATGTGCTTCTGTTTATGTACGTACCCTTCCTTTTCCATAGTTTCATAGTTGGTAGGGTCAGAAGGGACCTGAGCAGGTCATCAAGTCCAACCCCCTGCCATGGTAGGAAAGAATACCCTGGTGAGGTGTTCATCCAGCCTTGTTTTAAAGACCCTCAGGGTAGGAGCCAGCACCACTTCTCTTGGAAGTTGGTTCCAGATCCTAGCCGCCCTGACCGTGAAGTAGCGCCTCCTGATATCTAGCCTAAATCTACCCTCTGCCAGCTTGTGACCATTATTCCTAGTCACGCCTGGTAGTGCTTGAGGGAGCAGGGACTCCCCCAATGCCTGTTGGTCCCCCCTGACTAGTTTGTAAAAGGCCACTAGGTCCCCTCTCAGCCTTCTCTTGTGGAGGCTGAACAGGTTCAGGTCCCACAGCCTCTCCTCGTAGGGCCTGCCCTGCTGCTTCCTGATCATGCGAGTGGCCTCCTCTGGACCCTCTCCATGTTGTCCACATCCCTCTTGAAGTGCAGCGCCCAGAACTGGACACAGTACTCCAACTGTTGCCTGACCAGTGCCGCATAGCGGGGGAGGATCACCTCCTTGGACCTGCTTGAGATGCATCTGTGGATGCATGACAAGGTGCAGTTGGCCTTCCTGACCGCGTCCCCACACTGTCGGTCCATGTTCATGTTGGCATCAGTGATGACTCCAAGATCCTTTTCTGCCTCTGCACTGGCGAGAAGGGAGTTCCCCAACCTGTAGGTATGCTGCTGGTTCTTCCTCCCCAGGTGCAGTACCCTGCACTTGTCAGCCTTTCCCTTCTCTCTCTCTTCTGTAGCTTTTTTACATTTTTTCCTGCCCCTGACTTTGAAATGATGCTTGGATGTAAGCCTGCAGCCAGGGCTGTTCCCAAGGGAGGGTGTGAATCAGGGCGACTGGCCCGGGTCTCCCAAGTGGCCATGGCGACTCTCCACTGCCACTGGCTTCACGTCTGGCCGCTTGGCACCCACCTCCGCCCCCTGCTGAATCTGCCACCAGCTTCCTTGCATCCAGGGGTGGGGCCCTGCACAGGCTGATTTGCCCCAGGCCCCGCACCCTGCTCTGGTCATCTCTGCCTGCAGCCACCTTGCCTTGTCAGGTCTGGCAGAATAAACCTGGCTGGCTGGTATGTTTGGAGACTCCCAAAGAAGATGTAAGTAGTGACAGAGAATGGGTTGAGTAGCATAGAAAGGATGACTTTTCCCTCTGAGTCAGTACCGAGTCAGTGTCTCAGCACAATAAAGGACTCCACAGTTTTACATCTGATGTTGCGAGGCACGCGAGTTGTGCTGTGTAGCTGCCAACAGTTCCAGAGCTCGGTTTTTACCAGCAAATTGTTTAAGTCTGGTGTTTTGGCCAGACTCCAGTCCAGGTAGATTCATCCAAAAATTCCCACTGCTGTCCCAGTTTATAGGAGTTATACTTCCCCCTCCTTTCCTAGAGCCACATGCTTCATTTTGCCCCGCCAAATGGCTGAATTTCATTGTTGACTCCATGATCCCTTCCTGTTTACTTCTTAGCCTAATCTTTGCATACATCTCAGACTCTTGGATGGACTGTGGGAATGTACAATAGCATCATCTGGCCTCTTTGCTGTGACATACGGAAATAATTAAACAGTGACTGCTTTTATGTCTTGATGAGTATATTCTTGATGCAAAATGCACCAGCAGGACATGATACCAGGACTCTCTTGTCCTCTCATTTAATTGTTAGCACTAGCTTCCAGTGGGGTGGCTGTTTGCAAGGATGAGTATTAGGGATGTGAATGGACTGTGTTCAAGTTAAGTCGCTGAAACCTGAGCTGGCCTTGAAAACTCCTCCTGTGCAGAGCAGAGTTGTTTGAATGCTACCATCACTGTCTTTGAAGGGGTTTCACCAGCTGGGTGGGAATTGCTGTCTTGTGGAATGTTATTAGTGTCCTGAAAACCCTTTTGATTTATCAGCTGAGCAGACTTGGCCCAAACTGTAGTGGGATCTGGGAAGAGGAGAGTAACTGCTATATTGCTGCATCTGCTTTTAAATCCTTGTGCTGTCCCCACTGTGTTTCTGATAGGTGGCGTTTTGTTTTCAGGCTTGGCTTTTTGTTCTGAAAGAGGCCAGGAGACTGACTCGAATTGCTCCTGCCACACCCAGGGTATGTGAAGCTGACAGACTTGAGGCTGTTGATATTATGCAAGGTTTATGGGGGAGAGTTTGTTAAAGCTTGATTCAGTGTTCTCCACTGTGGATTTACCTGAACTGCTTGTCATGCTGTCATTGCAGGGTCCTGCACTTCATTTGTTTTCAAGCTGTGATTTTGTTGTTTTTCTGCTGGGTGCTTGGTATCAGAAGTGGGGGAGGGTTTTTTTCCCTAGAGCTTCTTTGTAATGGTTTCACATCATATGTGCTCATAATGCAGTAGTCAGGGACTTGGGAAGCTGTTATGATATTTGTTGCCTTATATTCTGTCTGTCACCTACAAGGAAGCCCAGCTTATTTCAGGTATGTTTTTTCAGTGAGAAGAGTAATCTGGCCTGGTGGTCATGCAGAATCTACTACTCGGTGGATGACCACTGCAGTAGATGGTATGTTTTGCATGACTGCCTATCTAATCTTAGGTTAGTCTCTTCCGAAGAGATTTGAGGAGGGATTTTACAGGCTTTCTTTTTCCGTCTTGCTTGACATCAAGAGGTTTTTGAGCAGGTGACAACTGAGCTATCGTTGTGTTAGGTGGAGCAGAATTGGTGATCCAGTCAAATGAGACGAAGGTACAAGTGAGAACATTCCTTTAGAAAGGATCCTGGAAAGTGGAAGATTGGTTCATAATACAGAAAGAACCAAAACAAATTCTTCTTTTGTTTTGGGGTTTGTTGTGTGTGTGTGTGTGTGTGTGTGGTTTCTGAATGAGAACTACCTGCAAATCCCCTTATTGAGAGAGAGTGTACAGACATTTTGTATGGAGCTGCATTGCATTTTTTAGGATTTGGTGTCTGTTTTGTACTAGTGTAACACTCAAGTGTGGCAGTTGCTTTGTGGAATCTGTTCTCTGTCAGGATGCTGCCAAATCTCTGTAAGCAGCAGGCTGCATTCATTTGTGAAAGAAACGTGTGGCTTGGAACAGACTTTCATTTCAGTCAGGGTTGTTTAGAACCCAATCTTTCTTCTATTCTCCATGAACCTTACTCCTAGCAAGTTTTCTACCCTTATGCCAACATGTGAATAACTAAGAAGGGCTAGAATGGGAGATGTGGGGCTAGTGCTGGAGTGGTGTATGGCCATGTCATTTGGGGAATGAATCTGTTCCTTGGAAGAAGTCTGGCAAGTCAACTTGCTCTTGGGCTATCTGGTTCTGCTCACTGGACCTCAGTAAAGGTTGGAGGTTCCTCCTCACTGAGCCCTCCTCTGGCATACAGTCTCCAGCCATGCCTGATGTAAGGTTGATCACGCCCTCCTTTATAAGCAAAGGCTTGACAATGCAGATCTCGAAGTTCCTAATGACTAGAGGAGCAGGGCTGGGTTTTATCTAAAGTGATAACTGCTTCTTTGGAAACCTGTGGACTGGTTGAGCTGCATTATGCAGACTGTGCCCAGAGTCTGCAATGCCTGCTGTTTCTTCATCCTGCAGCCCAGTCAGTTGCTGTTTTACGCTCCTGTTTTGACAGCTGTCCCACTTCACTTCTGATTACAAGAGCACTGCAAGGAAGCCAAGCATTATGCTTCATTTGGGTCAGGATTAGGACTTAACTTTTGTATGCTCAGGTCAGATGTTGCAGTCTCTATATCTGTACATCAAATTTGACATGATCTGTCCCAGTGATATGGCTAGAATATATTTCAGTTCAGTCAAACTGCGTAAACATTTGCTGCAGCAGGTGTTCTCCTGCCCTGATTGTTTTTTAAGCGGTGATTTGTTTCTGGAGGAAGTCCTGGAGTTGAGTCTTGCCTGTGTGTGGGAGATGGATTACTCTTTTTCACGTGGCCCTGTTTAGTATGTGACTACAGAAGTAATTTTAAGAGCCAAAGGTTCTCAAGGGGCACATGGCCTTTGCAATTAGTTGGCCCCTGTAAGTAAGGAGTGTGCTGCATCCCTTCCAGCTAATGATCTCCCCTGCTTTTTTCCTCAGTTTCTTGACCAGTTCTGAAGGGGAAGAGAGGATGACTGCAGTGGATGTGCTGTCGGACAGTACCGAAGTCGTTGAGATGGAGGATGTGCCTTCCCAGTTTCAGGTGCAGAAGCATTCATGGGATGGCCTGCGTGACATTATTCATGGCAGCAGGAAGTATTCGGGCATGATCGTGAACAAGGCTCCCCATGATTTCCAGTTTGTCCGGAAAACTGAAGAATCCAGCCCACATTCTCATCGTCTGTATTACCTAGGTAAGTCTGGCTTCAGGCATCCCCCTATCTTGTTCAGTCTGGTTTCGCGTTGCTCAGTATTTGTGTGTCTGTCACCCAGATAATTGTGGCTGGCCAGTCCCCTTCTTTGTCCTCTAGCAGCTTGGCTCTAAGAGGGGGTGATGGTCTTGGGTTTAGAGTACTTGACTGGGACTCAGGGCATCTAGAAGTAGTTTCTAGCTCTGCTGTGAACTTCCTGTCCAGAGCTGGACAAGCATTTCATTTTCCTCATACTTACTCTCGCCTACATTTTCTCTGTCTATTTTGACTGGAAGCTGTTCAAGTCAGGGACTTCCTTATTTATTTATGCCCAGTGCTTGGCATAAGAGAGTTCTACTCTGGCCCTCTGTGTGCTGCTATAATATACATAATCATAAGATCCTTCCCTTCATCTTTTAGGTGGACATGGCTCAGTCATGAGTCATGGCTATGGGGTGTTTGATTGACTGTCCAGTTGACTTTCCAGATTGCTCCCAATGGTTTCAGTGTTTTTTGCAAACTCCATGCATTTCACTGATTTGAGGAGGTGTGATATCAGTTTATTTCATAGAGACAGTAAATTGTTTTTCTCGCTGCTTCATGAGGTGGAAGGCATTTACATTGTGGGTGTGTTTCAGAGATGAGGCAATTGTAAAGTGCTTTCAGGAGGAGAATGAATCTGTTAAATAAGAGTAAGGTATTAATAGTATTTTCCACAGAACTCTCTCTTGTTTTTGAAGATTTGGGAGAAGGTAGATCTTTGAGCTATACCAGTCTAGAGTTGCAGCTAATTTAGCAACATTTAAATACAGTGGGTAGACTTTTAGAAAGGCTGGATAATGTTATGGTCAGTAACGTGTGCTCTATGCAGCTGGCTGTGCTGTCTTGCAATGATGCCACTTCTCTTTCAAGCATTGGGTGTTAGCCACTGCTGCCAGCATGATACTGGGTTTGATGGATGAGTAGTCTGATCTCCCATGGCAGCTCAAGTGAACTGGTTTGTTGTAGTCCCCAGCAAATTTTCATTGAGAAATACTAACAGAGCAGGCACCCTGCAAACAAAATTGAATAGATGTGTTAGAACAACAGATGGATTCCTTGTGGGAAGTGAAAACCGCAAGGGCTCCCTTTTGTCCAGACATCAACACCGAATTGGCTTTGAGATCCCTGTGGTGCTGGTGAAAGTTAGACACTTATCTAGATGACTGGCTTACAAGTTGTATTTGGTGTTAGCATTTTCCCATGGTGTGAAGAATTTGCAGTCCATCTTCCTGTTGGAATCCAGCTGGGGCCCTGCAGTGAAATGACTGTGACAGTTCAAGTAGTTGGGCTTAGATGACGTAGTGCTAAGCTTTGACATTTAACATTCGTTGTTCCTCACGAAGTTTATGGAGCACAAGAGCAGGTTGGGTTGTTGGCCAGTTATTAATATGATGGCAAAATCTCTTATCTTTTTGAAGCCTTCTCACAGCACAGGATAAAAGCTTCTTACTTTCACAACCTTAATGAGCAGGTGTTGAATTGGCCACTTCATTACTGAATAAGATATCATTAGAAAGCTTGGTTCTGGGCTACACAGTAGCATAACTATGGGTGGGCAAGAAGTGTACCTGGGCACCAAGTTAGGAGGGGCACTAGAATTGCCCCCCATCCCCTCAGAGTCTGCACCCTGTCCAAAACAATCCCCAGTTGCTGCTGCTTTAAAAGCAGCAAAGTCAGGGTGGGCACAGCATGCGGTGGCAGCAACAGCTCAGCCAGGGCTTTTATGAGTTCCCAGCATGGGTTAGACTGCTGTCCTCTGCCCCCAGTCTTGAACCTGTGCATGCCCCACAGCCACTCTCCATCAGAGCTTGCTCCTGGCACCAGCTCTGCTTGTTATGTCTCTGAGGCTACAAGATGTCACTTCTTACTGATAGGCTTAAAGGGAGTCTGTAAGTATTGTCCCCAGTCTGGCATAAGTGTTGCTTTAAGATTTAGCATGGATTTTGATGTGCACACGCTGAGGAGGTGGAAGAGTACATTTCTGCCGTTTGCTCTTTGGACACATTTGTTATCAGAGCTGAGCAGCTTCTTATACATCACGGAAGGGCCAAAGCTCGGGGTCTCAGATTTGTAGGCAGTTCTTTTGCAAATATCAATGATAGATAGTGCAGAGTCATCCTAGATGCTGCTAATGCAGTATAAGAACTTTAAGGGCACCTGGAGATTCACATGTTACTGCAGTCCCAGCCATTTAAAATGCATCTGTAGTCATATCTTGGTGTTCCTAACTACAGCCAGCTTGGACATCTTATATCTTTCCCGAGGAAGGTCCCTGTAGGCTCTCATGTTGTATCATGGCAGATGCTGCTTATATTAAACACCACATGCTCAGCACTTCAGTGTTTCTGTGTCTCTGAGGACTGTGTGCTCATGTGTTGCTCTGCTTCTTGGGTCCTTATTAATATTTCAATTTTCATTTCGCTAAAGCGAGTGCAGCACCAGGTTAACAGGCTCAGAGGCTGCAGTAATCCTTTCCTGTGCAAAACAGCTGCAGCATTGGCAGTAGCAGGGCAGGTGTCCCTTCCCTGTTGTCCTGGGACAATATTGAGTCTTGATTGTAATAAGTTCCCATCTGGAAGGGTGCAAGGCAAATTTGTTGGCTCAGTGACACCACTGACAGAGCTAGCACCAGGGCTAATGTTGCTGCTGGCATCTGGACCAGCTCTGGTAACTTGTTTGACCTTGGCTGCTCACTGTGGTGGCTCTGCGCCTTTTCACGAAGTAGCTGACGAGGCAACATGGCTGGCACCACAGGTGCCACTCCAAAGAGGTCAAGGACTGATTGGCATGGTTGTGTGCAGAAGTTGTCCCTCCCCTTTCAGATTGAGGAGCGGGAGGCCCCCACTGCTATTACCCAGGCTGTGCCTCTGCCCACACAAGAGCCGGAAGGCATTATATCCCAATCGCAGACTGGCAGGGTTTGTCTGAACAGCCTGTTCTTTTAGCAGGTCATTGTCCTGCTGAGGAATGTTTGGAGGGTTCCACCCACTGAGTCGCATAGGTAAGGGCAGAAGCTCTCCAGAGAGAGTTCATCTAGAGAAATGGTTCTCAACCTTTTCAGACTCGAGGCCTCCCTCAGAAAATGCCAGCTCTTCCACTCTTTTCTGTCGACAGAAAAATAACAGAATAGTTCTTCTGTTGCAAAGAAAACAAAAAGTCCAAAACAAGTTAGAATGTTTCTGGTGCTGTGGATTCCTATTTGAGATCTCTGGGTTTATCTTGTGAATCATGTTGGCACACCTAGCTGCTTATGTTGTGTGGTAGCTCATGGCATCCTTGAAAGGATGTCAAGGCACCCAATTGAGAACCACTGAGCTAAGGTGTGAGCTGAACAGCAGGTAAATAAGCAGCCAAGGTGAACCAATACCTTGCCGAAGAAAGCTTTGCTTAATAAAGCTAAAGCATTTTGGATACTACCTAGTGAGTGGATTGTGGGGAGCAGGTTGGAAAAGGTGCCTGATTAATGTCACCCAAAACATCTGGTTCTAAGTAGTTAATAAAATGGCCTTAATTATTACCTGTCCTGGGCACACCTAGCTCTGTTGAAATGCCCACAGTGAACTGTTTTTTGTTCTTCTAACAGGGATGCCATATGGTAGCCGGGAGAATTCCCTCCTTTACTCAGAGATTCCCAAAAAGGTACGGAAGGAGGCCCTGCTGCTCTTGTCATGGAAACAGATGCTGGATCACTTTCAGGTGAGAGGAGATGCAGGAGGTTCTGTGCCATGTCAGTCCTTGTGGAGGATCTCGGCTGATAGTCTGACACTGGAGAGGCAGCTAATGTGGTGTGTACCGCTCTGCTCAGCTGTTGGAGTGCAACAGCCTGGTTGTACCACACCAAGCAGAATGGGAGCAGGTGTATCCGCTATAATATGGGATAGTGTTGGTCTGCCAGCCATGGATCAGCTGGTGGTATCAGAATAAGTTTGCCTGTACACAGTGTTCTACCTCCAGTTAAGATGGGACGACAGATTGGAGCTCTGGGTTTCTTGCCTAGACTCCCTACTTGGCCTCCCTCCCTCCCACTCCATTTGAATGTCTGTATTTAATAACTGCCTTTATAACAGGGATGCAGTGGGGCTCCAAGTGCTAGCTCTGTTGTATGCTTCCATTGCCAGTTCGTCTCAAGTAATTCATTCAGGAAGGGAAACGCATGGTTGCCTGGTACTGGGCCGCAATTTATAATGAGAGCATGTTGGGGAGTGGCAGGGCCTGGTAGGATGGGGTCGCATTGGTCTTGCTTTCCTCTTTCCAAGGGTTCTGTTAAGCAGATTTAAGGGGCTTAGAATCATATATGGATCTCTGAGTGCCCTGGAAGCGAATGCAAGATTCCTGAAATAGTGATCATTTGTAGTGTCTGACATGGAAACCCTTTGTGAGAGGATGTAGGTGGTGTTAGGTTAATTGACTGCACCTGGTTTGCATAAATAGAGTAAGTGGCAGCTGTCTTGTGCTTAAGGTGGAAATGCCACTCAGTCTGTATATCCAAGCCTTTGGCTTTGATCTAGAAGAAAGCATTGTCTGGGAGAGGGGGGTGTATGGTCTTTAGAGTCCCACCTGTGTTTAAACATCAGTGGTCTGAGTTGCATTATAGGCTTGTTGGCTGCATTTAGCTGATGGGTCACGTTTCAGCCACTCATGGATTAGCCCATCTCATTAATAAAGCATTGCTGCCCCTTCAGACTTGCAAATTCTCTTTCTTTCATTCACTATCAGGCGACCCCTCACCACGGGATGTACTCTAGGGAAGAGGAACTGCTGAGGGAGCGCAAGCGTCTTGGGGTCTTTGGAATCACTTCGTATGACTTCCACAGCGAGAGTGGCCTTTTCCTCTTTCAGGCCAGCAACAGCCTCTTTCACTGTCGAGATGGGGGCAAGAATGGCTTCATGGTGAGTCTGCCAACAACTGGGCATGGTTTGAGAGATGGCAGGCCAGCGCAATGTTCTTATGGTGAATGATCACATGGTGGATGCCTCTTGGGTTGGGTCCTGCCTCTGGCTTCCCATTGAGGCACGCTTTTGAGCCCTGGTTCCGTTATGGGTGGGCTGGAACTATCTCTTGGGCCTTTGTTCAGCTCAGAGTTGAAAGCAGAGCTGGTACATAGCACGTGCCTTCTTATCACAGGTGTCTCCTATGAAGCCACTGGAGATCAAGACCCAATGCTCGGGACCTCGAATGGACCCCAAGATCTGCCCTGCTGACCCTGCCTTCTTTTCTTTCATCAATAACAATGACCTGTGGGTAGCAAATATTGAGACTGGAGAGGAGAGACGGATGACATACTGCCATAAAGGTACCCAGAGTTCCCTCTAACCATCAAGAGACGAGTCCTTTCTTCTTGCAAGATTCTGATCAGGAAGCTTTACTCCTGCATTGCTTTTCCTGATTCAACCCCAATTTTTCTCCCTTTACAGGCTTATCCAATGTTCTAGATGATCCCAAGTCAGCAGGAGTAGCCACATTTGTCATCCAGGAGGAGTTTGATCGTTTCACAGGCTACTGGTGGTGCCCCACAGGTTCAGTAGAAGGTCAGTGTTCCCTCTTAGGCTTAGAGAGAGTAAACTGTGTCAGTAACTTACTGATTGCTTTAAAGATCTGAGTTCCAGGTCATTTGTTTAGAGCTTATGAGCTGTAAGCTAGTAGAATTTTCATGTGAATACTTACCAGAAGTTGCCGGGCTATAAGGGAAATGTGTGTGGAGAATTGCTAGAGCTACTACAATAGTGCTCCATCCTAGTGAAGAAAGGCAGTTGAGGATGTTAACGGCAAATAAACCTACTGTGTCTGTTTCTAGGCTCAGAAGATTTAAAAACGCTGCGGATCTTGTATGAGGAAGTAGATGAGTCGGAGGTGGAGATAATTCACGTTCCTTCTCCTGCTCTGGAAGAGAGAAAAACAGACTCCTATCGATACCCCAGGACAGGTGAATGGGGTGCTGCAGAGCATCTGATGTTACTTCCAGCTTCTGTAGGCCAAAGCCGCAGCATCTGTCCTATCAGCTTTGCATTATTAATTTAGATGCTTACCAGGATATGAGAGAATCTCATAAATGTTAAGGGCGATCCCAGTCTCTGAACGCACAGCTCACTGCAGAAAGAAACGGCCAAATCTGTCTTAACAAAGGGGACTATGGTTGAGTGGGAAGCTGCCCCTTCGGGCATAGCCCTGAATACACAGGGAATTTATATCTTCTTTGACAAGAAATGATTGTGCACACACCTGCCTGCACAGGCAAATATACTTCTCCATGCATTCACAACAGAAATCTCAGCATAGCCATTCACTAGATGTACATTCACGCACAGCTAGCAGCATTGAACTCTTCTCTTGTTATCTAAAAAATGTCTGTTGTGCAAGTTAGGGGGGGTGCCCAGATTGCTTGTCTTATCTGATCGTGGCATTCTCTCCTTGCTGCTTCCCTTCCAGGCAGCAAAAACCCCAAGATAACACTAAAGCTGGCAGAATTTCAAACAGACAGTCAGGGGAAGGTAAGTCATCTCTAGTCTCTGGAGAAGGAGGTTCAGGGGCGTAGCACGTGAAGGGTAACTGCTGCTGAAGCTGGCCAGATTGTGCAGTCGCTGTTGGCACTTTGACAGCAAAAGACAAAAGTCTTTGTGCCTGACACCCCTCTCACTGCTCTTTCTATTGATCTTTTGATCAAGGCACATGAATTGCTTTACCATACTGGGAAGATGTTATTCACCTCTTGGAGAAGTGAGGAGCAGGGCTTTGAGTGGGTGAACAGCACAGCAAGGGTAGAACCCAGATGCAGTCCTATGCTTGCATCCCCTGTGAGTGGATGCCAAAGCCATTATACTACAAGGGTCTCAAGAAACCCCCTTGTTCTCTTCCCACCACAGAAGTAAAGCCCTGCGTCTGCAGTCCTGGTTCACTGATGCTGTTAGTTGCTGCCTGCCACTTCCCCTGTTCCACCAAACTTCAGAGTAAAGTGGAACTTGCTGGTTTTATGTTCTTTCTTTTCTTGCAGATTGTATGTGCTCAGGACAAGGAGCTGGTGCAGCCCTTTGCCACGTTATTCCCTTCTGTGGAGTACATTGCACGTGCTGGATGGACCAGGGATGGCAAATAGTATGTAGGCTTTTTTTTACCAGGGGAACCCCCCTATCCATCCAGTTAATTGTTCTGTTGCAGCCACTTAATTTACTTTACAGTTTACTGTTATGGGCCAGGCTTAAACCCACAAAAAACATAAGTCTCTGTGGTGCTTGACTCACTAATTATCTTAGTCTATATTATAACTGACCAAATGGTGAAGAGAGTGGTGAGCTTTGAGTTTTAGACCAAAACTGTGGCACTGTACACAATGTATGTTAAGTGTGCAATCCCAGAGAATTCATTTTTAATCTTGTTACCAGAGCAGTTGAGTATAGATACATAGACAAAATTGTTGTGGTAAGAAATCAGGATAACTGTAAGCAGTTATATCACAGTACACTGTAATGCTTTGTCTTGTCTCTGGTGTATTTGGTGTTGGTCATGGTTGGAGGAAATTGAAAAACTCCTATAATATACCCTGCCTTCTGTGCAGTTCTGTACAGAGAGAGAGCTTCTTTGGGAGCCTCTGTAGGTACTCTGTTTAGACCTGTGGGTTATCTTGGCAAAGCCATAACAGCTGGCTGTTAAGGATCAATACATGAATCCTATTGTGGGAATTCTTAGCTTTTGGCTAGATGGTGGGGGGAGCCTCTTCTGTTGGGGAATGCTAATTTTCCCAGAGAGTGCTTGGAGGATTTAGCAACACAACTCGCTGCTTTTTCTTGACAGCATATCCCAGTTTTGAAATTCAGGAAAACACTTAAGACCTCAGGAAGGAAGGGGTTGATTTATCTGCAAACAAGGACTGTGCAGTGTTCACTTGCCTTTCCCTGAACCCTCCAGCAAACATGGATGCTTCTACTTCCTGTGCTGGCTTATTTATGTTTCAGGTAGTTACAGGACCCAAAAGAGCATCTAAAAATAACTTTTCATGTGGTTCCAGTCATTTCAGAATAGCTGGACTTTCGTAAATTTTGATTTAAAGGTTAACTTAGATTTTGGCTGTTTCAGTTCAGATCATGTTTGTTATGGCTAGTTAACAATATCTGTTTTTAGAAGATTTGATTTCTGTGACCAATTGGTAACTGGAGCGTGAGGCTGCACTTTCCTCTGGCCCATTCTTTATTTTTGATTACTGCTCTCTGTGCCCTGGTGCTTGGTTTATATCACCTTATGCAGAAGCCCCAAGATGCCTTTCAGGTGGTACATGGTGCTTGCACAAGGACTCTGCTGGGCTAGTGGGGGGTATTAATTCATGAAGCCCATGATGTGGTCATTATGGTATGGGGGGTGTGTTCCTTCAGACAGGTGGTATCATTTCTACCACATAAAATCTCTGCTGCTGCATATTTAGCCCTAAATGTATCCAAGTCAAGCAGTGGTCAACATCCTCCCTGCAAGCTAGGAGGGCTGCAGTAGAGCTCCACTTTGGAGAGTCTCCCTTGCAAGAGCTGTGGTGTAGATGAGAGTAACTCCTTCTGTTTGCACCTGACCGTTGGTCAGTTCCTTTCCCTTTTGCAGTGCCCACTGCTGACTGGTTTCTTTTTGCTTCAAGACCTTGTTGTATTAGAAACAGCACTTCCTTTTCCAAGGAGAAGAACACTGTCACGACCAGTTAAATGACATCTTGCTGATTTGTGCTTCCTCGTAAACGGACACACTCGCAGGTCTGGCAGGCAGCTCGCCTGCATGTTTACCTATCACATGCTGGCATGCACTGGGATGCACATTCATTGGAAAGACTCCTAGAAATGTAAAAGGCAGCCAAGTGAGGGGAGAGCTTTGCTTTGGAAGCCTTCTCCCTGCCTTCCAGTGGAGGGAAGGAGAGAGTGTTAGTTCTGTGGGGGAGACTGTTTCACCTTTACTCTCCCCTTCCTCTCACAGTGCCTGGGCCATGTTCCTAGACCGTCCTCAGCAGCGGCTCCAGCTAGTCCTCCTGCCTCCAGCGCTGTTCATCCCAGTACCAGAAAACAAGGAGCAGCGCGCTGAATTTGCCAAAGCTGTGCCAGAAAATGTCCAACCCTTTGTGATCTATGAAGAAACCACTGATGTGTGGATCAATGTAAGGGTGCAGGGCTGGGCCTAGTAGAGGCAAGCCTTCCAGGTTCCTTCCCATTTTCTTCAGTATGTGGGGCATGCGTCCAGCTCTGCCGCCCTTGCCCAGACTGGTTACCCTATCAGGCTGATGGTGTGTCCATGCCCTTTGAAAATCTTTTCAGGTGTAAGACATTAGGTAGCCCACGAAGCCAATAATGTAGCAGTGAAGGACTTCCTCTGTTGCTAGTTCTAGTTTAGATAAGAAGAGACTGGAAGTTGCCATTTCTCCATGGGTTGGTAGCCACAGTGAAATGAGCTAGTGGGTCTGTTCCTTAACTGACAGATCTCCATCCCTGGTTTCATTGGACATGGTACTAATGAACTTCTTGATGGGAGTCTTGGCAGAGAAACCAAGGATGGAGTGAGCTCTGGGGGATGAACCATCCTTAACCTTAGACTTGGTTCATTGCTCAGGATTTGGGGAGCTCATCAGTATGATGGAGGCCGTTAGCAGTGTCAAAATAATGTCTGTTGTGGCATAAACAGGGTTGCAGGCCCCAGGGCTGTCAGGTGCCCCATGAGGAGCCAACATGCTCAGCTCAGTTGAGCTTTTGAATGGCTTGTCAGGCCCATGTTGTGCTAGGACACAGTACTTTTCCACCTGCACCCATTCACAGTGGTGCCAGGCTGGGTTGTGGGCTTGTATGGTATCTTGAGGGGCTTACCTTGCCACGTGGGCATAGGGTTGTCCTGTGGTGACAATGGAAAGCCAGGGTCAGCCTTTCTCTACTGTGTCTTTATTTCCCTTCCTGTCTGAAGCTGCATGGCCATGCCTCTTTGCTCACGGTGCCTTTTTCTGTTGTCTGGTAGGTTCATGACATCTTTTATCCTTTTGTCCAACCGGAGGGAGAGGAGGAGGAGCTGGTTTTTATCCGAGCCAATGAGTGCAAGACAGGCTTCTGTCACCTGTACAGAGTCACGGTCCTTCTAAAACAGGGCAGCTACGATTGGACCCAGCCATACGTCCACAACGAAGGTTGGAGCAAACCTCCCTGTGTGGTTGTCTCATTTCAGAATGTTCCCTCTCCTCTTGAATTGTTCTCTCAGAAATTGGCCAGATAAGGCTCTCATTCTTGCCCTTCCTTCTTGCTAGATGACTTTAAATGCCCTATCAAAGAGGAGATCGCCCTGACCAGTGGGGAATGGGAGGTCTTGGCACGACATGGCTCAAAGGTACAGGTTATTCTTGCATTCTCTTGCCGTGCTCTGGTTTTACACTTGCTGCCCACAAACCTGGCTTGCTCCTGTTGTTCCAGATGCCTGGGACCAGCTAGAACTACTTAAGCTTCATTTTGTTTCTAGCTTTTTTTTTTTTTTTATTGCTGCCTTTGCTTTCCCCAGAAGCGCTGTAGCCTGGCATACAGCAAGCTGATTGTCTTTTTAATCAGGCGCCTTACTGCTCTTTCTGGGAAACCACGTGAATGAGTCAGGCCATAAAACGGCACTAGAGGCTGAGGTCCAACAGTAACAAATAGGCATTCTCTGAAAAGCTCAGGCTTGCCACTGGGTCGCAGCATTTTAACCCCAGGGTGCATTTGGGAATTAGGAATGTGCACTGGTGCTTGGAATGATCTGTTATCATCCAGCTGATCCCTCTGCAGAGCTCTTAGGAGGAGTTTGGCTGGCGAACTTGATGTAATTGTGTTGGGAGGGGGTGGTATCTGTTCCTAGCACAGTAGCCAGATAGGATTTTTAAAGCCCTACTACTAGCTAGTCAAAGCCAGTTCCATTTTGCTTTAGGCTCAGGGCTACTTAATATCTAATCTTTGTGCATCCCAGACTGTTTCAACGAACAGAAGCCGTGTCTGTTCAGTCCCATTTAATCTGGATTGTCACTCCACTCTCTCTTTGAGGGCATCTAGTTTCACACATACAATTACTGCTGCCTTTCCTCACTCCACAGTTAACCTTCTGTCCCTCCCCAGGTGAATTATTACAGTTCAGGCTGTTCTTTTTGGCCAGAGCATTGCCCTTTACACGTTATGGCTGAAATCATGCTAGCAGCAATTATTTCAATTTCTTTTGTTGCCTTGCAGGGTTCTGTCACAGTGTTCTTGACCAATTTAGCTGGCTAGTCCCACGTGCCTCCCCACCACCCCCATAAAGAGTTGTACTATCCAAATTGTCCTGTAGGTTCCAACTAGGCTGGGCTTGGAATAGCTTTCAATGTGTAGAAACCACTTTGGACGGAAAACAGTTTTGCTAACCTCTGCTAAAACTATATTTAAAATGGATGTTTAATGCAGTTTTGGCCTCTCTGCTGCTGAGCAAGGTAGCTTTTAGAAACTGCTTTGTCTGGAGCTTTGGTTCAGCAGAGCTCAGGTGTAGAAATGGCTGTAACTGGAACAGTCGGTCAATTCTATCCCACCTGTGAAGTTTGTAGGTTGCTGGAAAGAAACCTGTGAATCCTTGCTACCAGGGCAGCCATGCAGAAACATTGGTGGAAGGTCCTCCTCTTAAAAACATGTTTCTAAATATCCTTTTTCCTGGCTTTATGTTGTTTTAGCTTGTGAACATAGCGAGGCACCTAGAGAGCTGGCTGTCTTCTCCTCTGTCATTCCTCTAAGCTGGTCTTCATCCAGCCCTGCACAAGCGTTGTGTGCATGTCCACAGGCCTGGGGCACCAATCATTAATGCAACGAGCATTGTTCTGTTACGGTCTGTTTTATGGAGGCTGGCTTTTGCCTGATGCATCAGTTTGAGTCAGGGAGGGAAGAGCAGGCTGTCACCTTTTGACTCCGAGTCCTCTGTCTTCCGTGCAGATCTGGGTGAATGAGGCAACAAAGCTGGTTTATTTCCAAGGCACAAAAGATACCCCCTTGGAGCACCATCTCTATGTGGTCGGCTATGAGTCTCCGAGCGAAATCGTACGGCTCACCACTCTAGGCTTCTCTCACAGCTGCTCAATGAGCCAG